TTGCTGAGAAGACCCTCATTTAGGTTTCTGTTCTGCTAGAAATTCTAGAATTACACACTGAAATCTTTCTCTATCTATTTATTTATTTATTTTAACGTCGATTATTACATCGGCTGGCTGGGGAGTGTGAGATTGCTTCAGACTAAATTCCATCAAGCTCCTAAATAGTCATTGACATTCTAAGAGAGAGGAAGCAAGGCTGTTTAGGGACTGGTGAGCCTGGGGTGCAGATGAGGGTTCTGTGGGTGGGGAGAGTGGGGGAGTGGGCTGGTGTTGGGAGAGAGCCACATACTAGATATGGGTTATTGTGAAGTCCTAGCTTTTGTTTTGGCTGGTGAGTCTGTGGATGCTTATTATGTTATTAAAAATTACTAACTCAGAAACCTAACTTAATAAAAGCAGGTTATGCATGGACTGGGATAGAAAGTCCCATGAACCAAGGATTATTATTAATCCAATTCTATGCACTTGAGTTAAAAAAAAAAATCAAAAACAAGGCTACTTAAAAGGATGGCCCGAGATTTAGATTCTATAATGTGCATTCTTTTTTTAATACTAGTTTTAATTTTTTCTCCTCATCAATCTTTTTTTTTTTTAATTTTTTATGTTTTATTTATTTTTGAGAGAGAGAGAGACAGCATGATCAGGAGAGGGACAGAGAGGGAGACACAGAATCCAAAGACAGGCTCCAGGCTCTGAGCTAGCAATCAACACAGAGCCCGATGTGGGGCTCAAAGCCATAAACCGTGAGATCATGACCTGAGCCGAAGTCTGATGCTTAACCCACTGAGCCACCCAGGTGCCCCTCCTCATTAATCGTTTTAAACACCATTTTTATTCTTCCATTTCAATACTAGAATCTCCCCACGCAGGTTACATAAAAGTTCATTAAGGTCTCAGACATCAGGAATCTGGCTAACCCCTTTAGTAGGTGACAAAGGGCAGAAGGAAGGTCTGGACTGGCTTCTGGAAAGGGGACCTTGCACGAGCAGTTGGACATAGCTGGTGTCGGGCATGGGGTGACGGTTTTATTCAAATGAGCTTGCGTTTTATGCCAGACATTGAGGAGAGGGAGCCCCTGTCAGCGAGATCACCTTTACTATAAGCCGCGGTTCTCACACTCGGAATGCCCTACTTTGTGGCTGCAGGATATTTTTTATTGCTATTTGTGCGCTCATCAAACATTCACTGGGCACTGAGCAAGTGTTGTTCATGATCTGGGCCCTGTGCTAGCCTCAGGGATACAGAGCTCGCAGCGGGTGCCTTTCCTGGGATACACACCATGCTAAGTCTGTGCTCTCTTTCTTACCCCTCACAGCAACCCTCCTTTGTTGCTTAGCCCCAGGGGCTCTGGCCATACCCTATGACAACTGTGTGTCCTTTTTATGTGCATGGCCGGAAACGCTGGGAATGATGAAAAGGCGATGGACTCTTGAAAGCAGACTGCTTTTCGTTCAAACCCTAGGGTCCCCACTGACATACTTGACACAGCTGTTACAATTCAAGTTCACCTCTTTAAGCCTCAGACTTCTCATCTGTCAAACGGGAATAACAGCTCACAGGACTGTATGAGAATTAAATGGGATAATTCATAACAAGAATTATTTCTGTCACATAGTAAATGTTCAGTAAATGGTCTCTCCTATTTTTTTTTTCCTCAAGAGTGGGATCTGTAGATAATTTCTCTACCTCCATGAGGCCCAACACCTGCTAACATGTTCATTACCTATCTGTTGAATGACTGGATGAATGAGTGCCTGCCCTTAGAGAATGTGAGCCCATCTTCTATCCCTCTTCCTACTTCTTTCTTGTCAGCCCCTAGAGGCTCTAGGACAGGTAAAGCTGCCCCCTCTGACATGGCCAGGACTTAACTGGAAGCGAGAGCATGAGAATTCCTTGTCTGTGATCCATGGAGGGAAGGAAGGAGGACTCTCTGGCCTTTCTGCTGACACTCATCCCAGGGAAAAACCACCACTCAACCACAGCTGTCTTCTTTTGCTCTGCAGGAGCTTCCCTGAATGTTCCTAAGGATTCCTAAGCTGCTTCTCCTTGAGAATCAGGGGCGTCAGACCAGCCCTCTCAGGAGGCAAGGACCCAGCGCTGGCTTTGCCTGCTGTTGGACAGCAGTGGCTGCTGAGACCGGGGTGCAAGACAGGTCTCTCGTCCCTGGCTTTGATGCCCAGCCCCCACTGTCTATACCCACCCCCACCCCCTAGATCTATTCTTTCTTTTCAGGAGCCATGGAAACAGGAGTCTAAGCTCTTGAGGATGAAGCTCAGACCGGCAACCACCTCCCACTCAGTTCTGTCTTCCCATAGGCCCTGTGCTCTAGGAGTTGACCTTTCACCTCCTTGCCTCACAAGCCCCGCCCCCCCAGCCCAGCCCACAAAGGACCCTGGATTGGGGCCAGCATCCTGGGCCAGGAGGCAGGAGGCTTGACTTCAAATGTGGGCTCTGCTACTCACTGGCTGCGGGATTTTAGACAAGACTTTTGCTCTTGGAAACTCAGGATCCTCATCTGTAAAATGGGATGCTCTCACCCCCCTTGAAGGTATGGCGTGAGACCGGGCAGTGATACCAGCGTAGGAGGGAGTCTGGAAGTCACAGCCCCTGCTAACGATTATTACTGAGGCGCGGCGAGGACAGGCGGGGAGATCCCGGCCCCGGATTCGCTTGTCAGTATGTGCTAAAAATAAGTACTTTTCTCCTCTCTTTAGCTTGGTCAGCAGAACGGAGAGATCCTGGCAGACCCCGGAAAACCCCACCCGGGCCCGAACCTCGGACAGCCCCTGTGGATTCCGCTTACAGAGAGCAATTTAAGAGGCAAACAAAACATGAAGAGCTATTCAGAATTAACAATGGGCCAGATGGTAATGCTAGTTTGAAGCAATAAAACATGATAAATAGCTTCCTGCTGCTACTCCTGATCAATTTCAATATTTAATAATTCCACCGCCATCCCACCCCCTCTTTGCCCCCCCTCCCCACAGGATCCTGCGATGACTCCCTGCATTCAACTCACAGAGCAAACACTCCTTTGCTTTCTGAAGGCGTCAGCAAAAAGAGCGCGGCTCGACTGTCATGTGAGCGCTCTCAGTCCTCGAGATGATAATTAATCTGCCTGCTTCTCCAGACGCCCCATCTCAAGCCTCTCCTGGTTGCCAGGGAAGGTTATGAGGGTTCTCGGTCCACCGAGATGCCTTAGAACCCACCTTGTGGACTCAGAGAGTATTGGGATCCCCTGGGTTTTGCTTGTGAATTCAAGAAAGGAGAGAAGCAGAGAGCTCGGAGGTCATCCTACCCCAGGACCAGCTCGTGGGATTCAAGCAGCCCAGAAGGGAAACTGAGGCGGCATAGTGCTGGAGCCATGCCCTCCAGCTGTGCCTCTGAGCCTCAGCATCCTTCTCTCTGCGATGGGGGGACATACGGTCCAGCCAGGGCTGTGCATACAGAGCCCCCAGCAGAGTGTTTCCATGTAGGACTCGCCCCACAACTGCCAGCCAGTGGCGTCATTGTTAAAACGTAATGGTCATCGTGGTCAGACAGGTGTGGCCCAGGGCTGACCGTGATGGGGAGTGCCCCACACTCAGACCCAGCCCAAGTGGAGTCCGCTAATAAGATTAGCCACTCTACGTGGCCAGCAAGGGCTCCAGACACTTTTATACCCGCTGACACTTCTATACCCGCTGACGCAGGAGACCTCAGGACCCCCTGGTGAGCGGTATTATTGGCACCATTGACGGAAGAGGAAATGGAGATTCAGGAGGTGACATGGCTTTCTGAATTTACACGGGGAGAAAATGGCACAGTCAGTTCTAATCTGGATCTCCCAACCTCTGATTTCTCATCCTCTCCACCGAATCACAGGAGAAAGCTGCTCCCTGATGCGCCCCCTCCGCCCCAGCGTCCCTTTGGCAGGGAGGCAGCCCAGAGGAGGGAAGCCCCGGGCTCCAGGTCACCTGAGCCACAGTTTACCGTCTGTGAAATTCAAACGTGGCTACCTAGTGCACGGGTTCACGGGCACATTTAATGAAGGACTATGCATGAGAGCACAGGGTACTTTTGTGATGAGCTGTACAAATGTCAGGTATGGTTAGTATGACTTTTTAGAAAAACACCCTCTGTGAAGAAAAAGATCAGAAACGCATTCACCCAAAAGTGGATCCTTCTAATGGAATCCTTCACAGCACGCTGCCCCTCGGCCCCCCGCACTGTTCTAGAGGATCAAGAGCAAACTCTTTTGTGTGGCATTCAAGGCCTCAAAGGCTCTTGCAGCCCCGTTTGCCCTTTCTCCCTTCCCTTCCTGCTCCAGTCCCTGTAAGCTTCTTGGGGTTATCTGAGCCTCCCACAAGTGTCCATGCCTTGGGCAAGCCATACCTGCCAGGCATTCTACGCCACCCCATTCACTGGCTTACCCCACTCACCTTTCTCCAAGAAGTCTTCCTTGGGTCTTCCTCAACAGGAGCACCTCCACTGCGCTCTTGATAGTCTCTCAGCACCGCCCCCCCACCCCCTTGCCCTGGCTCGTAGCACACCACACTACTGCTGGGCTCTCATCTGCCCCCCCTGCTCTACACTGAGCTCCTTCACTGTTGACAGCCAAGTGCTGTTCTCTCCCGTTTATCCAGGGCCTGGCCCACCCACGCTAGTACACGTGTGCCGAGGGATGAATGCATCAACGACTAAGTGAGCGTTTCCAGTACAAATGGAGTCAAAGCCTTAAGCAAAGACAAGGGAAATTGGTGGAATTAGAAAATTCCATTAGAATTTTCCATTAGAAAATGGTGGAATTAGAACTCGGGTGGGCCCTGCCTTGGCAGCAGAATTCCAGGTAATGCTCCCAGACTCAAATTCAGCTCCCTCCCTCCAGGGATGTCAAGAGCTGACAGGACAACCTTCCTCTTTCCCCAACCCTGACCCTTAAACAAGAAGGAACCAAAAGGGTGCCGCCCACCCATCTGGAATCCCACCGGACACAGCGGAGGCCGGTCATCAGGTACCTGAGTCCCGCTGGTCCACGGTCATGGAGTTCCACCTCCTGGTGATGTCAATGTAGAGGATGTCCACGGCCGCCATGGACAAGCTGCTGCTGCTGAGTTTGCAGTTCCTGCCAAAGACATGAAGGGACACATTACTGCCAGACGGGGCGCGGCCTCTTCCGGTCTGCCTCCGTGCCTTGGCCCTTGCCTGGAAGGCCCTCCCTTCCCACAGCTGGAGCTAGTGAAGGGCACGTGGTGGGGGTAGGGGGAGAGAAGGCTGAAAATGTAAGCCGAAGTTAGATCACGCGGGTTCCTGTAATTTGCTTAATTCTAAAGGGCTGGAAAGAGCAAGGACTTTAGGATGGCAAGTCTTTTTTTAGAGAGTGAGTGAGTGCGTGCGTGCACAGGCAGAGGAGAGGAGGCAGTGGGAGAGAGAAAATCTCAGGCAGGCTCCGCGCTCAGTGTGGAGCCTGACAGAGGCCCGATCCCATGGCCTGGGATCATGACCTGAGCCGAAATTGAGAGTCAGACGCTCAACCCACTGAGCCACCCTGGCACCCGGAGATGGCAAGTCTGGGGTGGAATGGCTCTGCCACTTAGAAGCTAAGGGTCCTGGTTAAGCTGTCTCCCCTCCCTGAACCTCACGCTCCTCCCCTGTAAAACAGACCGTCTCTTCTGCAGCCACTGGGTATCAGCCTGCGTCACACATGCCAGTGGCAGGTCTCTGCCTGCTCCGAGGGGGAAGTGGGAATTCTACGTTTCAAAAATGCTACTCTGCATGTCTTCACCTTCGCGTCCATTAGTCTATGGGGAAGAGAAAGGAATGCTGGACCTGGGCTCTGTGCTCTGCTACCAGTGTCCAGGCGTCTGACAGTGGCACACTTGGATGACCCAACGAACACAGCCTGTCACCTGCACAGATGGAAGGTGTCGCTGTTGCAGAAGTGATGTCCCACTGGAATGTTTCCTAGATGGCCTCTGGGTCCAAGTCTACAGACAGGGGCTTGAGGTTCCTTCACCCCCTCTGAAGCTGTCGCCTGATTTCTCATGGGTCTTGAACGACGAGCCTGAGACTCCCAGCGCAGATGAGTGCTGCTGGCCCACACCCCTCCATGCTCAGTCCTGACTTTGGGGAGCCACCTGGACACAGCAGGAGTGGGGGGGGGCTGGCCTCAGACTTTCGGAGGCCCCCCCAGTTTATTTCCTCCAGTGCAGAGAGGCCAAGGTAACCAGCCCCATATCTGCTCCCTGTCTAAGCCACAAAGGCGTGTTTGCAACCCTCTGTCTCCCCTCTAAGTTTTGATTTTTGATGATTTTTTGGTCTGGAGATGTGGGGAGGCAGTCTGGCACACTGAAAAGAACGTGATTTGGGCATCAGACAGACCAGGATAGAAATCCTGGCTCTGCTGCCTTTTCTAGCTGTGTGACTGTGAGCATTTACTTAAACCTTCAGTGCCTTTATTTGCTGATACCTCAAATGAAGAGAATAATATCCACCCACATGGCAGTGGTGAAGATGGCTGAGGCGGTGCGTGCCAAGGGCCCGGCATGGTGCCCGGCGCCCGGTTGGCCCGCAGTTGTTGATTCTCTTCCCAAGCGCTCCACCCTCTTTCGTTTCCTCTTCCAGAGCTAGAACGTGGGATCTTCAGAGGCCGCTTGGGGCCGGCCTTTCCGCAAGTAGCCCTGTCCATTCTGGAGAAACGGAGCTCTCCCGTCAGAGCGTCCAGATATCGGGGCCACGGCTCTCCATCCAGACTAAAGGTAGCCCTTGTCCAGATGCACCCCCTTTCTGAACAGGGTCGTGCTGGGAAGCGAGTCCCACCGCAAGCTGGATTTGCCCTCGCAGTCCTGGAGCCACACCTCTGGGCCAGCTGTCCGTTTGGCTGAACTACGCTCAATGCTGCTTTCAGCTCTCCAAATACGTCCTCATCCGTTGCCAGAGCTAATGATAAAGTGGTTCTTTGATTTCCCATTTGTCATCAGCCCTCGTGTGAATAGTTCCCTTAGAAGCCCGACAGGAGAGGCGTTGATTGGCAAGCAGGATCTGGGCACCCCCGAGGCCCCTCTCCAAACCCACACACACCCCGACGACGGCGGCTGTGAGCGTGCCCGGCATGGTGCCCAGCCGGGGCTGGTGTTCCTTATATGCCAGCACACTGGCTCACTCGCTCCCTCCCTCCTCCTTCCTTTCTTCCCTGCCAGTATTTCTCAGGCCATCAATTCACATCCTGCTTCCTCCTGGGCTCCTGCTCCGTATTTCAATCACAAGTCACCGGTGGCGGACTTCAAACACATCAGCGCACGGCTATTGAGCCCCGGTAACAACATGTCAATGGGCGAAGGGCTTTTCACGTCGCCTGTCACCAAGATGGCTGTCTCTATTGGGCTCCACTGGAAACGAGGCTCCAGTCCCTCCCAAGGTGCTCCAACAGCCTGCACTGCTCATTTTCCAAGCTTCGTTAGGAAGGGCCGCCACTTTTCTCTAATTATCAGATCAGTGTCCTCTGGACTCCCTGCTCCCCCACAGGACAAGAGCTCTGCCTGGCTTGCTCTGCGGGTTAATGGAGTATAAAAAGGGAAACCAAACTGACCACTGGTATATAGTTATTTTTTTCTGACAGGTAGAAAATAGAAGTGTCAAACCTTTAGCAGGAGCCGTAATTTACCAAAGAAAATTCTCCATTTATCCCTTTTCCAAGGTAACTCATCCTCCCTAGTGATGCCTGCAAATACAGTTGATTGTAACATCTGGCATGGGGACAGGGGAAGGAAGGACCCATGCTGGCAGCAGGAGACAGGAGATGCTGTAAAAGAATTTTGATTCTTTTATTTCTTGGGCCCCCATTTAGTATGCCAGGCCCTTTCCTGTCCATCTTTTTATTTTTTTAATGTTTATTTAATTTTTGAGAGAGAGAGACAGAGCATGAGCAGAGGAGGGGCAGAAAGAGAGGGAGACACAGAATCTGAAGCAGGCTCCAGGCTCCGAGCTGTGAGCACAGAGCTCGAGGTGGGGCTCGAACTCATGAACCATGAGATCAAGAGCTGAGCGGAAGTCAGATGCCCAACCCGCTGAGACCCCAGGCGCCCACTTGTCCATCTTTATAACCACTCTACAAAGGAAGTATTCTTAGTCCCATTCCAGCGACAGAGAAGCTGAGACTCAAGGGACATGACTTACCCAAGACCACACAGCTGGGATTCACAAGCATTCCTCCCGTGGATGATAGAGGGGTGGGGTTAGGAGCTCTGGGGAGAAGTAGGGGGATGGCCCAGCCCAGGTCTCCAGGAAGAGCCCAGGATTTAAGACATAGCCTCAAGCAGGGCCCAGTAAGGCCAGAGCCTCTGGAGAGGCCCTGCTGGGAAGCTTTGGGGTGTAAGGCTGGGGGAAGACACTCAGGGTCACTGGGAGGCAGATTCTCCCAGGTGTATCCCCATGGCCACCACACATTCTCAATTGACCCAAACAGAGAAAGCCTCCTTGTTTGGAGGGGCAAGACTTTAGAATGACTTTTTCATCTATCCATCTACTCAGTTCAGAATTGATTTGTGTGTAGGTGGGATTCTGAGCCCAGAGAGTGTCGCAGAGCTGAATCCGTCCTGGATACCACTCTCGGAGGGTGGAAGTGATCTCAGAGCCCCGGGTAAAAATGTGAAGCCTTGGTAGCTCTTAATCATTTGAACCATTCCCTCTTATGCCCTGGGATGCAGTTCCTCAAATAACTAAGGAGTGGAAGAATAAATTCTTTAGTGGAAGAGAAGTCCAAGAAATATGGTAACATGAGAAGCCAGAACAGTTCCTAAGAAAGGACAGACTGGAAATGTGTATGGAAAAAAAGAGCTTTGAGTCAAATGCACAGGAGTTTGAATCTTGACTTTTCAGTGTGACCTTGAATGAGTCATTGAAGCTCTCTGCATCAGAATTTCCTTACCTGTGCAGCAAAGAAAAGGCTACTCACCATACAAAGCCATTTTAAGGACCAGCTTGGTACCCAGCAGGTGCAGGGAAGTAACAAATGATGGCTCCCAGGCTTCCTCCACAATGTGGAGCCACTTTGAAGAAATGTTTTTGTTGTGTTTGTTTTTGTTTTTCTCCTAGAATCACAGGAATTTGGGCACATATGATGGGAGATAATCACAAATCATTCAAGTTCCTTAGGAGCCCAAGTATAGGAAGATCTGAAATTATCATCCCCATTTCCTCTCAACAACTACTGACACCTCATGGGAAATTTAGAAACCAACTTTTTCCACTCTATGAAATTCTATTTATAGAATTTTTTTTGCATTTATCCTTCTCTGTGAAATAAAAGAAGCTTATTTTTTTCCTGGAGAGTTTTCTATAAGGTGAAAGCTAACAAATGATCAATATTTGTTAATTAAAAAAAAAAAACCCAACACTAGATATCTAGAAGGGAAAATGATAACTCTGGTTTATAACATATATATTTTTAAAGGCTATTGATATCCCAGGCATAGCATCTCACAGTATTGCTGGAAAAAGATCATCACAGAACAGGGGGATTTTTCAAAGTCACAGAGGAGTTAATGACAGAAGGGGAGACGAGGCCCCCTTACGCTTCTATTCCAGAACATTCTAACACACCATGTTGCCTCTCAGAGCATAAAACCCCCCACAGCTACCCATTATGAAACATATTAATATCTCCCCATGAGAAAAGGGAATGGAAGGGGGGAAAAAAAGAAAAAAGAGAAAAACCATTCTCTAATTTAAAAGGAGACCAGGATCAGAAACCACAAAGGGGCTGAGCCGGCCTCTCCAAGTGAAATGGCCTCGAAAGAAGCAGGAAGGAAACGCTCAAGGTACGGAGAAGCTGCCTCCATTTCCCAGAAATGAACCTGGTTTTGTCAAACTGTTTAATGTTCAGGCTGTGGAAATGGAAAATGCCAGCACGTGCAAACGGATTTCAAATTCTGATGTAGGATACATTTGGAAAACGAGTTCTTAGTGAGTTACATAGAATGGCCCTCAGATTAGTAATCCAATGGAAGGAAAAAAGCAAAAATGCATTTCCCTCAAAGAAAGCTGTCAAGTTGAAGAATCAGATAATTTCTGTTTCTCAGAGAAAGAGAAGTCTCCACGCCCCAGGAATTATTATGACATAAAAAAAGAGAGAGAGAGAGAAAGGAGGCACTTAATTCATGGTAATATGTGCTACTATTATGTGCCTCCTGAGGAAACGACATGAGAAGCTGGTTCGATGAGTTAAGTCTAGACAAGGGAACGACAGTTCATTATTTCTCATTTCTTGGTAGAAAAGAAAAATAGAATGTGGCCAGACTGGCATTAGCATAATTCACTCCTAAAACTGCTGATCTATGCAGCACATTATGAGAGATGGTCACTGAAAATAAATTTGGTCGGATGTTTATTTTGTTCCCTCCAGTTCTCTTTAAGGAACTTGGAGAGAAAGAGTGGGTCGTCCAGGTGAAAGCCAAGTTCAGCTTCTGTCATTTGTGTGGGAGATCTGAGAGGAGTATATATTTAGCCAGCAAACACGTCTCCTGCACAGTGCTCCGGAGAAGGGCACTTGGCTCGATTTAACATATGGCATAAATATTATTAATTCATAATGAAGCAAAATTTAAACCGAAGTGGAAAGGAGACACACAGAGAGAGAGAGAGAGAGAGAGAGAGAGAGAGAGAGAGAGAGAGGGAGAGAGAGGTTGTTAGCAAGAGAAAACGCTTGCTGTTAAATTTAGCTGGCAAGACTGAACATACTTAGATAAATCTAAGTGCAGAGAGTATCATCTTTTACGATTAAGTTGCCGTTGGGATCTCTTGGTATATTTCAAAAGGAAAAATCTATTAGCAATTGTGCAACATTTTCTCCACTTCTTCCTGCATCCTTAATTACGCAGGACACTGGCTGGGTGGGTGCGGAGGGAGGGGAGAGGGGCTCACTGCGGGATGGGCTCCCCCATCTGAAGAATGTTCTTCCCTGCTCAGGGCACCAAGGCTCCCAAGGACAGTGCTGGTGACAGACGGTGACCTGAGGGCCTCCAACCTCACAAAAGTCAGTTTTACTTGTAAATGCTCTTAATTGTTCAGGAAAAAAAAGCATGGGAATATCATGAAGCCTATCACACAGACAGATTTGCAGCGGTAGTTTTGCCGTTGCTCAGTTCTAGTCTGAGAGTGTTTCAGGAGGCCTCCTTTGCGAGACCCATTCTCAGTTCTGTTTTCTTCTCAAGCTCATGTAGGAGCCTAGCAGCCTTCTGAGCGTGCTCCTTGGCCCTCACGCCGGAGCTCACACGCTGGTGGGCCCTGAACCCACACAGTGCTTCAGAATTATGTTCTGAATCGCCAACGTAGATACACGCATATAGAGATTTTATATAAAAATCGGCATTTCTAGGGGTGCGTGGGTGGCTCAAGTTGGTTAAGTGTCCAACTCTTGATTTCAGCTCAGGTCATGATCTCGAGGTTCGTGAGATCAAGCCCCAGGTCTGGCTCTGCGCTGATAGTGGGGAACCTGCTTGGGATTGTCTCTCTGTCCCTCCCTCTGCCCCTGCCCTGCTCTCTCTGAATAAATAAATTGATAAATAAAAACTTTTTAAAAAGTCGGCGTTTCTAGCTTCTCTTGGAAAATCAAAAGCTCTGGTGATACTAGCCCACCAGCAACATTTCCTTTTAGCCAGAGAAGTCCCCTCAGCATCCTTCCAGATCCCACCCACTGGCTTATGCATCCTGCCTGCCCTTGGAGGCAACCAAGATTGTGATTCTTACGGTAAGTTATTTTTTTCAAATCTCTCCCTCCTCCCCCTTCTCCTATGTTTCAGTAGAAATTTACTAAGAACTAGAAGGAGGCATCTGACAGAGGCCTTCTGCTTTTCCTTCGTTCTTCCTTCTTCCCACCTGGAACTCCACCGTGATGGCTGGATTTTGAGCAGCCATCTTGTGACCCTAAGGCAACCCTGAAGCTTGAAAAGCACATGCTTAGGATGGATGAACAGAAAGACAAGAAGGAAGTGGGGTGTGATCACATGGCCGAGTCATGAACCAGACTAGAATCCCCACTGCCCAGCTTCCTATTATATGAGAGAAAATTAATCTTATTATTTTAAACCATTTATAGATGTGTATCTATTACTAGGAGTCAAATGCAATTCCTAAGTGAGTCAGAAGGTATTAGGTAGTGTTTTCAGGGAAGTAACAGCATGTGTCTGCTGACTTTCTTGAGAATTCCCATTGTCAAATGGAAATCATAGTCACAAGACTCCCACCTAACAAAGAGCTCCAGTAAACTAGGCTCTGGGTCAGGTGCTTGAGGATGTAATACATCCCAACCTCATAATAACCCTGAAAAACAGGAGAGGTTATTCCCATTTTACAGATGAGGGAATGGAGACTTGGAGAAGGCGAATGATTTGCCCAAAGCCACACAGCTATTAAGCAATGTGATAGGCTCTGAAGCCAGACCCAAAGCCTGGGCTTTTCCCACTGTCCATCTTTCCCCTCCCCGCCGCCCCAAAGCTCACACAAAGCCCTTCTCGTGATCGCCGTGCAAGTATGAACCTAGGTTTCCTGAAATGACAATTATTCCTGCTGATTCTACTGTTTACCATCCCATCAAGAATAGCAGAGAGCTAGAGTTAGAATTCATAAAATTCAGTTGGAGAAAAGCGCATGACAAAATGTTTCCATTTCGAGACTTCTAATTATTTGCTTTAGTGAACAAAATGGTGAAGAGTGTGACTTTGAAGTGGAAGGTAGAAATATTAAAGTCAAGGACGAGAAAAACAACAGCAGCTTCGAATGCCAGCAGATGGTTTCCTCGAGGTGTGTGACACACCATCCTGGCGCCTCCATCCCCATCTTAGAGGATCACTGAGACTCAGAGAGGGTCAGTAACTGGCCCGAGGGCCACCTAGCTAGTCAGTATTGCCTCAGGCAATTACTCCTGTGCCGCCCTAAAGTGCCCCAGAGAGCAGAGGCAAGTTAAGGAAGAATCGGGTGCCGTGGTTTATTTTGTAGACTGCGGCAAAAACGCAATTGCTTTATCTCATGGTTTATGTGAACAATTCATGCAAATTTTGTATTATACTCGATAATATAGCCATGTTATTTTTATATCAGGATAAATACTTTAAATTATTTATCAACTGAATTATTTAACTTTTCTCTCCTGAAATGGACACTTTGGAGAGATGAGCCTTTTTCCTTTGTGGTGGCTTCGTAAACGTTCAGCACCCAGCCACGTGTCACAGGGAGAGCATCACCCTGGTTTAAGAAACACAAGGTCTGTCTGAGTCCAAGGGGCAATTATTTATATGTGGTCTAAGGACCTAGTTCAAGGTAGCATAAAACTGTTTTAACCACAAGCATAAGGTGGTGAATGCCGTCACATCTGTAACAGTCATTAATTCATTCAACAAACAAGAGTGTACTGTGTGCCAGGCCCCGTGCCAGCCACTGGACCAATCCAATCCCAACTGGGCTGCTGACCCGGCACTGAAGACTTCCCCTGCCCACCCTCCCCCCCCCCAGAGCAGTGGGGGGCCGATGTAGGGCCGGACTCCACCCTCCCTGAATCCTAAGCCAGTGGGGCGGGTCTCACTGACCTGATAAAAGTCCGAAAGCCTGTGGGCCCCAGCTTCATCGTCCCCTTGATCCCCAGGAACCGGATAAACAGATTTGCCATCCTGTCCACCAGGCGCAGGTAGTTGAATTGCTTGGCGTACTTGGGGAACACCTGCTTGAGGCAGATGGAGGGCAGGCGGGCTTCCGGGTTGGTGCTGCCGTCGGAAGGGCTGGTGGGCTCACTGTCAGAAGGATCTTCCTTTTCGTCTAATGGCTTCTTAAGCTGCTGAGACCTGAAGCATATAAGGAACTAATGAGCCAACATCTGCAGCAGGCTATACAGCAGGCAGAGCACCTTCTCTCGAATGTTCTCCTTTGTTTACAGTTACAGCTACCTCAGGAGGTGTTACACTGACACTCTTTTTATTGTACAGACCAGAGACCTGACCTCAGAGAAGCGAGCAGTCCGAGCTCACATAGCTAGTGTGCGGCAAGGTTGGGACTTGAACCCAGTGCAGAGCCAGGACTGGAAACTTCCACGTCCTTTGTTCTCCCACCCTGGTTTCCCAATGTGGACAACTTCCTTTGTCGTACGCATGACTCAAGAAGAGTACTCTATTACGGAGCAGCCTAGGTTTGATTTCAAACTCCTACTTGTGGGTAGTAATTGAATAATTAAGAAATATAAAAATCTCATTGAGGGCTGGCAAGAAGCCAGAAGCACAGTTCAATGAATAATTTGCAAAGATACATCAGTTACCCAATTCTAAGAATAGGCACAATTACGTTTTCTGGCTTAACTATTTTCTTATTTGGAACTCATACAAAAAAAAAATATGATTATCGCGTTGTGATTCCTGAGTCTGATATTTTATTCTGAAATTATTCTGAGAGTCAAGAAAAGTCACAGCTAAAACTCCCAGATACCCACCTCTGACTTAGAATGTTCCCCTTACCTCCAGACCCACATATCCACCGTCTGCTGCACCTTCAGCATGGCACCCAGCCACCCCAGACTCAAATGCCTGCCCATTCCCCTCGCCCCAAATCTCCATTCTCCATCTCCTTGACCGTTGCCCCCATCTGCCAGCTACCCAAGCAGAAAATGTCAGGATAAATGCTAGTCCTCTGTGCTCAGTATTTCCTGAGATCACTTCCGCTGTCCCAACCTGGGTCTCGTGGGGCTCTCCCCTGGACCATACCAATAGCCTCCACCCTTTCCCATCTGTAGACCCATAGACACTGGCACCTGAGGCAATTTTTTTTAATTAATTAATTTTTTTGAGAGAGAGAGAGAGAGAGAGAGAGAGAGACCAAGAGCAGGCTCCATGTGGAGCCCAAAGTGCTACCACGACCCTGGGATCATGACCTGGGCCGAAATAAAGAGTTAGGCACTCAACCGACTGAGCCCCGGTGCCCCTAAGGCACCTCGTCTAAAGCAAACCCGGCCGAGTTGCCCTCTTACCATAACTCTTTACGGATTCCCGAGCACCTACAATGAAGTCCACCCCCTTCAATCTGGCACTCAAGGCCCTTCTTGATTTCTTCTCCACCCTCTTCATTTCCTACCACTACCCCGAGAGATACACTATACCCTCAAAGGCCTGGGATGCTCCCTGCAACCCCACCCTGCTGCCTGGTGGTCTGGCCCAGATGGGAGACTCGGGGCCCGCTGCGCCCCAGCTCTCGTCCACAGCTGGTGCCTCTTTCTGCACTTGCAGCGCACCTCACTCTCCCATCTGCTGTTCCGTGCACAGCTGGCCTGGGCCAGGTGTGACCTTGTCCACTTGTGCGTCCATTCCTGAGACAACGTGGTCTGTACTTGGTCCCAACTGGCTAACCCATCCAGGAAAATTAGAACCACGTCACATGGTATTGAGCTCAATGCCAAGGCCACTTTCTCCTCTTTTCTTTAGTGAATGGCCACGTCCCCTGTGTTCCCACTTACGAGCACACTGTCAGTCACCAAGTCAGGTCGTCTTGGTATCTTTGTACCTGCTTTCCGTGGCCTTTGAGGTCTTCCCCTGGCCCTGGCTGCCTGGCATATTTCATGCCACTTCTAGAACCAGCTCAGATGTCTCTTTGACCATGCCAATGACTCTCTCCCATGCTCCACTCCTGTTCCTTGGACTTGCTTCTCTGTTCCTCTGGTCAAGCTGGACGGCATTTGTCGGTAGGCCGGTCCCCCTCACCGCATCTCATTCGACTCCATCCCTACAGGACCTAGAATGCTTTGGGCTTTTGTGAAATGCTGAGTTGGGAAAGTTTGCTTTTAATGACAAGGCATGCCTCAAGTAAAATACCAAGATTATGATGCTTTGTACATCATAGGCTCTTTTTTTTTTTTTTTAAGCTTATTTTGAGGGGGAGTGCAGAGGGACAGAGGGCCCAAAGCAGGCTCCACACTGACAGCAGCAAGCCCTGTGCAGGGCTCGAACTCACTAACTGTCAGATCATCACCTCAGCCAAAGTCAGATGCTCAACCCACTGAGCTGCCCAGGTGCCTCTACCTTAAGCTCTTTTAAAGGGCACAGAGGTTCAATAGGGAAACAGCAAGTTTGGTCGCCCTGCCTTAGTCTTCTCTTCATTCTGGGTTAAGGAGTCAGCCTCTAAGAAAGGGCACTCCCTTGTGTGACTCAAATCCTACAAGTTCTGTTCACGGCACCTTCTAGGTGGGTCTTGGCTCGGATCTCAAAGCAAGGAGAGGTAGAGGGCAGAACCAGAGCAGTGTGAAGGAAAACCCCTTTTAAATCTTTTTTTTTAATGTTTATTTATTTATTTTAATTTTTTAATGTTTTATTTATTTCTGAGAGAGAGAGAGAGAGAGAGACAGCGTGAGCAGGGGAGGGTCAGAGAGAGAAGGAGTACAGAATCTGAAATAGGCTCCAGGCTCTGAGCTGTCAGCACAGAGCCCAACGTGAGGCTCGAACCCATAAACCATGAGATCATGACCTGAGCCGAAGTTGGACGCTCAACTGACTGAGCCACCCAGGTGCCCCTGTTTATTTATTTTTGAAAGTGAGAGAGAGAGAGACAGAGACAGAGAGACAGAGAGAGAGAGAGAGAGACAGAGACAGAGACAGAGCATAAATGGGGCAGAGAGAGAGGGAGACACAGAATCCGAAGCAGGCTCCAGGCTCTGAGCTGTCAACACAGAGCCTGACTAGGGCTTGAACTCACAGACCAAGAGATCATGATCTGAGCCAAAGTCAGACGCTCAGTCGACTGAGCCACCCAGGCACCCCAGGAAAACAAACCCCTTTTAAAGTTCATCTGTGTGGATGGTCCTGGGGAAACAAATGCTCCCTCCCACCAAATGCTCAATCCCACTACGATATCTCGTGAGAAGCACACGGTCGTGGGCAGGACACTGTGCAGTGTCCCTTCAGCTAAGCTGGTTTTACCATCATCTCCTTGAATTTAGGACAGTGAATAAAAGTCAGGTGGTTACTTTTCAGATGAAATGACGTGTCTCCACATGAAGGTTATAGGAAGACAGATGAGGAAAGAGTAGTCATGTTGTGGAAATTAGCTCTTAAATTACTGGGAGAAGTGGCAATTGCCGACGTTCTAAGTACTCATTAAGTTTTTGGTTGAGGGAAGGTTTGGAAGTACAGCTTGAATATGCGGTGTGACAATGAAGAGAGCCCAGAGAAGCCTTCAATCAGCCGTCCTATCTCCCGTGTCTCACTGGCTCTTCACGCCGCCCTGTGAGGTGCCTGTCATTCTTTAAAAAAAAATTTTTTTAATGTTTATTCACTCTTTGAGAGACACTGTGAGTGAAGGAGGGGCAGAGAGAGAGAGAGGGAGACACAGAACGCGAAGCAGGCTCCAGCCTCTGAGCCGTCGGCATAGGGCCCGATGTGGGGCTCCTTCTCACAGACCACAAGATCGTGACCTGAGCCGAAGTCGGACGCTTAACCAACTGAGCCGCCCAGGTGCCCCAAGGTGATTGTTACTCTTACACCCCCTGTTATGGATGAAGAAACCGAGCTCCGTCAAGGTTTGTCACGGCTCAACAAGGCTTACAAACCAGCCCTTCTAACTGGTGCTTGTTCTTATTCTACTGTTAGAAAGCACAGAATGATTCACTGGGCAGGTCACAGAATCCAAAGTACTGTTATTTATGTTGTATTTTAAATAGTTTTTTTTCTTCTCTTTTTTAGAGTATAACCGTCATCCATGCTCTTTGCAGACATCCTGAGAAACAGATAAAGGAATCTAAATCATTTGTCACCCGCAGATCGGGGACACGCACAGATCAGGGACAAAGACCTCTATGTTTTGGTTTCTTATCTATATTTATGAAGTTAGGAGCACATTGCATATAGCGTAAGTCCTTCTTTACACATTTTATGTTACATCCTGAGTATCTTCCCAGGGCATTAAATATGCTTTCATGAGCGTTAATTTCTCATGGATGTGAAATATTCAGTATTAAAGCCAAACCATAATTTAATTAGTCACCCACTCCCCCCATTTGGCTAATGACTGTCTATGTGGCCTTTTAAAATTTTTTATTTATTTTGAGAGAGAGAGAGGCAGAGAGAACCCCAAGCAGGTTCCATGCTCAGCACAGGGCCCGACGTGGGGCTCGAACTTACGAACCATGAGATCATGACCTGAGCTGAAATCAAGAGTCAGACGCATGTCTGAAGCCATCGGGGCACCCTGACACAGCCTGTCTTTGACTAAATGGAGTGTGGTGATCGGTCCCTGAGTGATGTGCTCCCTCAGCAGTATGACGTGTCACAGCTAGCAGCTAGTAGCGGGTCATTCTGTGCAACGACGCCATCTATTTTTTGGTGCGTGGTCTAATGTATACAACATAAAATTCACCGTTTTAATCCCTTTAAAGCACACAATTCAGTGGCATTTAGTACATTCACAGTACTGTGTACTCACCACCTCTTATCTAGTTCCAGAACATTTCCATGACAATGCCATTTCAGAGAAGAAACCTTCATCCCAGGCAGATAAGGCCATCAGCACCAGTGGGCCATTTAATTAGCAGATAATTAAATAGCACCAAGCAGGTCCAGCATGGTGGCCTTTGCTTGGGTTGCCCTGGTGATGGGGACCCCACCACCTCCAGGGGACCTCTTGGGCTGGGAAGCTTTTCCCAATGACACACATGTCAGAGGAAGTCTCTCACCAATGCCCTCAGCCTGCATTTGGTCTTACCTCAGAGCCGCGCAGATTGAGTGGTTTTTTCTCCTTTACGTGAGCCCTTCACATTTCTTTCAAGGGCTGTGGTGTTTACTGGCTGACTACTATTTCCCTTCCTTCCTGA